GGGTAGGATTTTCGATTCGGCATATACTACTCTGTTGGGAGTTGAGTTGCGGAGACCGAGGGCTGCTCTAATAGACTGTCTTTGAATGACACCGAGTTTGTGCATGAAGGTGCTGTTGCGGGGAAGGATGCAGGGCAGGGCATAATCAATGGAGCCTTGTAGTAGGGCGTTGTGTATATTGAGGAGGGTTGATGGATGGGCGCCCCACCAAGTTGTGCGGAGGGAGCGGATGAGATTAACGGTGGTGGCACTCTTGAGAGAAAGGTGGTTTAATTGTTCGGACCATGATAACGTGCTGTCCAAATGTATGCCAAGGAATTTAGCTGAGTTTGAGACTGGGATAAGGGTGCCTTCGAGGTTTAAGGAGTACTGGGATGTGTCTATTGCGTTTTCAGTGAAGATGACTAATTTAGATTTGGGGAGGGCGATGGAGAGGCCTTGTTTGTTGAGGTATGAGATAGTCTTGGGGGTGTTGGATTCTATAATGGCTAAGCTAAGTTCTGGGTCGTCTGAGGAGGCGAAGATGACTATGTCGTCTGCAAAGCTGATGCATTTGCACGTGGGGTCTAGGTATTTAGCAATGTCTTTTGTGCCGAGGTTATAGAGTGCGGGGCTGGAGATGCAGCCCTGGGGAAGACCTTGGTAGGAAGAGTAGGGGCCTAGCAGCTCACCGTTCACTTTGAAGGAGATTTTTCTTGAGGAGGTAAGATTATAGAAGAAACGGCAAATATTTTCAGGAAGCCCAAGGTTCTTTAGATTTTGGATTAGGGAAATGGGGTCAATGCAGTCAAAGGCACTTTTTACATCGAGGAAGAGGGCTGCAGTGTAGCCTTTCTGGGCGAAGCTTGAGTAGATGGACGAAGTGAGAATGGAAAGGTTGTCTAGGCAAGATTTGCCTTTGCGGAATCCGAATTGGTGAGATGGTAAGAGGTGGTGGTGTTCTATCCACCAGGACAGCCTGTTGTGGATGAGTCTTTCCAGGAGTTTCAGAGGGGACTGTGCTAGGGAGATGGGTCTGTACTTGTCGGAGAGACCTTTTGGGATGAAGAAAGTGAGGTATTCTTTCCAGGAGTCTGGGAAAGTGCCCTGTGAAAAGATTTCGTTAAAAATTTCGAGGAGGGATGTTCGGATGTTATGAGGTAACTTATTTATGATAATATTATCTATGCGGTCGAGGCCTGGGGCTGAGTTTATTTTGGTGCGGGTTTTTTTGATGGCAAAGTTCAATTCGGATTCGGTGAAGGGTTTGGAAAAGAAGTTTATAGTATCCTGTGTGGCTGAGAATGATGTGGGGAAGTTAGGAAAGAGGCATGAGCTGGGGCATAGTGTATCAATAAGATTTCTCATGGAGTCTACGTTCTTTAAGTTGCTAGGAGAGGATGAGGCTGAGAGGGCTTTGTGGCGAAATTTTTTGACGGTGTTCCAAATTAGGGAGGGGGGAGAGGATGGGGAGAGATTTTCGCAGAATTCCTTGAAGGATTCCGACTTTTGTTTTTTGAACGTTTTTTTGACGAAGTTTTCTGCTTCAACAAGGGAGTCATAGAGGTTGGGGTTACGTCTAAAATTTCTAAGTGCGACTTTGCGAGCTTTGGCAGCTTTGGCACAGTCAGAGTTCCACCAGGGAGGGTGACTAGGTTTGTTTCGATGGGGAAGGTTAGAAGGTGATGGGTTGGTAGCTATGAGAGAGGCTGCCTCGAGGATTTTGGAGGTGAGGAAGTTATATTTGGCATTGGTGGATTGAGATGGAGCTTCCGTGAAACTGAATGATGCAAGAGTGGATTTAAACAGGGACCAATCTTCGGCGCTGGCTTTTCTAAAGTTAAATCTGTGGGAGTTTCGGGGAGAGGAAGTGAATGAGATGCCGAGGGTGGTAGAGATAGGATAGTGATCGCTCATGTAGTTATCACTTGCTACGCGCCAGTTGCTAATGGTGAGAAGCTGGGGGGATACAAAAGTAAGATCTATACATGATGTGTAGAGGGGGTTTGAGCGACTTCTATAGGTTGGGGACCCGTCATTGAGGAATACTAGGTTGTTGTTGTTAAAAGTAGAAAGAGTGCAGTCCCCGATGGGACATGATTGTGAGCTGCCCCAGGCAGGGTTGTGGCAGTTGAAATCACCGCCTATGATGGTATGTGTGAGATTCGGTATGGAATGTAGTAGGGCAGTCTAGTAGTAGTTGTGGAATGGCCTTTGGGATCTTGATGGACGTCTGTAAACTGCGACTACATGTATAGGGTGGTTTGGTGAGTCGATTGAGATAGTGAGGGATTCGAGGATTCTGTGTTTGTGGAATGAGTTGATAATTCTGAAGGGGATGTTGTTGCGAATACAGATTGCAATTGTTAACACCACCACCTTCTGCGTCTTGTCTGTCTTTTCTGATGATGGTGAAGTTCTTAAGGGATGGGTTGTGGTGGGGGGCGAGTCTGGTTTCAAGTAAGATGATAACGTCGTAGTCTTGGGAGAGGAGTTATATGTGATTGCGTCTTTGGTAAAAGGATCCACAGTTCCACTGGAGGATACGAAGGCTATTGTTAATGTTTGGGTGTGCAGCCATGGATGGTTAGGGTGTAGTTTAGTTGGTCGAGAGATGATTTAATAAGAATGAGGGTGTGAGATTGACCGAGTATAGCAAGTAGAGGGTCGAGAAGGGTTGATATGAGTTCTCTGAGTGAAGCTACGACATGCGATAGGTTGTTCAGAGTTAGTTCGTTGTGCGGTAAATGAGAGTTGTGCTGGACAGCTGGTGAAGATAGTTTCTGGGGGTTTGAGGAGGATGATGATGCTATTGTTGCTGTATTGAGGTTGACGGGATGGGGTATGGATGGTGAGGGGGAGAGGCGCTTAGGAGATAGTTGGGTTAATGGGTGGAGAAGAGATGGATGTTTCAGATTGGCGGTGTGGGTGGCGGGTGTATGATTCCAGAGGGTGGCTATGCCGGGGTTGGGGGGGGAACCATGTTGTTTCTTGGATAGAGAGGTGGTTTCAGATGTGGAGGGTACAGGCGACATTGAAGGGGAGGTGGGATGAGACGTGAGAGACGTTGTATCAGTTGAGGTGTGAAGGGATTTTGTGATTGAAGCATAGGAGTGGAGATGTAAGTTATTTAGAGGGTTTGAGGTAAGGGTAGGGGTCAGGGAAAGAAAGGAGAAGTGAGGTGTATGAGAGGAGGTAGTTGAAGGATTGGGTGAGGGAGAGGGAGAGGGGAAGAGATGTTGGTTGACATTGGGGGGGAGTTGGTTGGTCAGGAGATGAGACTTGACATTTGAGTGGCGACTTTGGTGGTTAGGGGGAAAGAATTTTCTTAGGTAGGAGCTTGCGTCAATGAGTGAGACGTTGTGGGTGGCAACATGAAGGTGTATTTTTTGTTGGAAAATGTACTCAGGGCAGGCTTTATCTAGGGGGGTGTGGGAACCTTTGCAGTTAATGCAAGTAGGGGAGTTAGCACTGGGGCAATTGGTGCCTTCTGGGTGGGTATTTAGACCGCAGGTCAAGCAGAAGGAGTGTTTTGAGCGGCAGAGGTTTTTGACGTGCCCATATCTGAAGCACTTAAAACAGGATTTAATGGGTTGAGTGAATGGACTGATGGGATAACGAACGCAGTAAAGGAATACGTGTGAGGGGAGTGTCTGGCCGATGAATGTGACCATTACTGACGAGGTTGGGGTGAGAGATGATGAGTTGGTATTTTTGTCGTGAATCTTGCGGTTGAGTCTTTTTACAGAGTGTACAGGAGAATTTGATGCTAGAGGGGCGTTCAAACCGGTGAGGATCATGTCCTCCGTTAGATCAAGGGGAACGATATACAGTGGTGAGGGATGGAGGCCTTGAGGTTTTCTTTCGAAAGGAGAGGGTTGGAGAGGAGGTGGTTAGCGGAAAAGCCGTCTGTCATGGAGATAGAGACTTTGAGTGGGCCTGAGGAAGATATGGAGTGGATTTTACCTTTGTAATGGCGGCTATGAGTCTTCCAATGGTGGTAGGATATAATCTTCCAGATGTTTTTTCTGGGTGGATTGGTTCGAGGAAGACAACAAAAGGTCCCTGGTGGGAGCTGCTGTATTGCAGGTTTAAAGAGAGGGAGCTAGGGCTGATTGTGGTTGCCATGAGATTGTTTGTGTTTGAAAGGGTACCTGGGATGTTTGAGGCAGTTTGAGGTGTGTTGAGTGCGTTAGCAGGAACTTTATTGTGTGTGTCGTTTTGAAGAGAGTGCGAGAGTACTTTAGGATCAATGAGTGGGGGGGGTTAAGTCGGATGTTATGGTTGTGTGTGAGTTGGTAGTTTTATGAGTGGTCGGTGTGCTAGATATGTTGATTGGGGTTGAGGAGGAAGTAGTGAGGTTTGCTGACAGGTGAGGTGAATTTTGTAAGCATGGGGAGGTACCAAAGGATTCTTTAAAAAGTGAGTCTAGAAGCAATTTGTCATTGGTTGTGGGGGAATCCTGGGTCTTGGGGGTGGTGGATCGAAGGGAAGAGGCGGATGAGGAGTCCGAGTCGTATTCTTCGATGGATGCCGATTCAGCATCCATGGAGAATTCGTTATTAGTTTCGGTTGGGTGTTCTAGATGGCGGATGTCGGGAGAGTCTTGCATTTTTTTCTTGGNAGAGAATTAGAGAAAAATTTCGCAGTCACGTAGAAAGTTATGTAGGATTTTTATGAGTTTGACTGAGGGGGAGGACAGAAAAGAGTTGATCGTGAGGGGGGGGGTAGAAGTGTAAACGTGAAGAATTATAGGGCAGTTAGGAGTAATACGATAGAATGGTGATGATTTCTAGTAGGTGAGAATGTATGTAGAGAATTAGAGAAAAATTCCGTAGTCACGTAGAAAGTTATGTAGGATTTTTATGAGTTTGACTGAGGGGGAGGAGAGAAAAGAGTTGATCGTGAATGGGGGGAAGAGTTTGAATTTGGAGAGGGATTTCAGAAGGGTGCTTCGCTGCACGTTGAAACGTTCGCATGACCAGAATACATGGTTGAGGTCTTCTACGTCATTTCCGCATTGACATAAGGGGTTGACGATTAGGTTTTTGCGATGAAGGCTGAATGCGAGGTTGTAATGATTGGAGCGCATTCTGCTAAAGGAAGTGACTTGGTCTCTTGTGAGTGGGAGGGAATGGAACCAGGGTTTAGAGGAGGTTTTGAAGCATGTATTGATGTAGAAGAGGCCTTTGCCGGAAGTGTCTTCTTCTATGAGTTGTGCGAATTTGAGGGATATTTCAGAGTTGAAAAGGGCTTGGATGTCAGAGTAGGGAAGGGGGTAATTGATATGTGTACCGCTAGATATTGCGTCCTTTGCGAGTTGGTCTACTATTTCGTTCCCTGGGATTCCCTTATGACTAGGGATCCAGGCGAGGATTACAGATTTATTGGCCAAGCTAAGCTCCAGAAGAGCTTTCTTGATTCTGTGGATCGTTACATGATGTGTTACATTGAGGGGAGAGGTATCAGCTATGGATTCTAAAGAGCTACGTGAGTCTGAGAAGATAATTGAGTGGCTTATGTCGTTTTCTATTATATATTCTAGGGTGAGGTAGATAGCTAGGGCTTCTGCGGTGAAGATGGATGCATGGGGGGAGATGCGACCTTTGAAGGTGTGGCCATTGGGAGGGGGGCAGTAGAAAGCAAGACCAGTGTAAGTGTACTGGTCTGTTTTGGAGCCGTCTGTAAAGAAAGGTGTGTGAGTGGATAGCTGAGAACTGAAAAGGTCTAAGAACTCAGTTTTTGGATCTTGGGCAGTGGTGAGAGTGGCTCCTGTTGAAAGCATGATGTTTGGGTTGAGTTGTTGGCTGTCCATGGAAAAGAAAAAGCAGGGAGGTACTGAGCTGGAGAAAATGTTATTTTGATGGGGTGAAAGCTTGAAGAGTGCTATGACAAGGGGGTGAGAGAGGAATCTGGAACCTTCAGGAGTTGAAGTGTTTTGGGAAAGATGTTGGATCGACTGGATGGCAGGATGATTGGTGAAGGAGAGGCTTTTGGAGATGTAGTTCATTGCTAATTTTTCTTGCCTGAGTGGTAGGGGTAGGATTTTCGATTCGGCATATACTACTCTGTTGGGAGTTGAGTTGCGGAGACCGAGGGCTGCTCTAATAGACTGTCTTTGAATGACACCGAGTTTGTGCATGAAGGTGCTGTTGCGGGGAAGGATGCAGGGCAGGGCATAATCAATGGAGCCTTGTAGTAGGGCGTTGTGTATATTGAGGAGGGTTGATGGATGGGCGCCCCACCAAGTTGTGCGGAGGGAGCGGATGAGATTAACGGTGGTGGCACTCTTGAGAGATAGGTGGTTTAATTGTTCGGACCATGACAACGTGCTGTCCAAATGTATGCCAAGGAATTTAGCTGAGTTTGAGACTGGGATAAGGGTGCCTTCGAGGTTTAAGGAGTACTGGGATGTGTCTATTGCGTTTTCAGTGAAGATGACTAATTTAGATTTGGGGAGGGCGATGGAGAGGCCTTGTTTGTTGAGGTATGAGATAGTCTTGGGGGTGTTGGATTCTATAATGGCTAAGCTAAGTTCTGGGTCGTCTGAGGAGGCGAAGATGACTATGTCGTCTGCAAAGCTGATGCATTTGCACGTGGGGTCTAGGTATTTAGCAATGTCTTTTGTGCCGAGGTTATAGAGTGCGGGGCTGGAGATGCAGCCCTGGGGAAGACCTTGGTAGGAAGAGTAGGGGCCTAGCAGCTCACCGTTCACTTTGAAGGAGATTTTTCTTGAGGAGGTAAGATTATAGAAGAAACGGCAAATATTTTCAGGAAGCCCAAGGTTCTTTAGATTTTGGATTAGGGAAATGGGGTCAATGCAGTCAAAGGCACTTTTTACATCGAGGAAGAGGGCTGCAGTGTAGCCTTTCTGGGCGAAGCTTGAGTAGATGGACGAAGTGAGAATGGAAAGGTTGTCTAGGCAAGATTTGCCTTTGCGGAATCCGAATTGGTGAGATGGTAAGAGGTGGTGGTGTTCTATCCACCAGGACAGCCTGTTGTGGATGAGTCTTTCCAGGAGTTTCAGAGGGGACTGTGCTAGGGAGATGGGTCTGTACTTGTCGGAGAGACCTTTTGGGATGAAGAAAGTGAGGTATTCTTTCCAGGAGTCTGGGAAAGTGCCCTGTGAAAAGATTTCGTTAAAAATTTCGAGGAGGGATGTTCGGATGTTATGAGGTAACTTATTTATGATAATATTATCTATGCGGTCGAGGCCTGGGGCTGAGTTTATTTTGGTGCGGGTTTTTTTGATGGCAAAGTTCAATTCGGATTCGGTGAAGGGTTTGGAAAAGAAGTTTATAGTATCCTGTGTGGCTGAGAATGATGTGGGGAAGTTAGGAAAGAGGCATGAGCTGGGGCATAGTGTATCAATAAGATTTCTCATGGAGTCTACGTTCTTTAAGTTGCTAGGAGAGGATGAGGCTGAGAGGGCTTTGTGGCGAAATTTTTTGACGGTGTTCCAAATTAGGGAGGGGGGAGAGGATGGGGAGAGATTTTCGCAGAATTCCTTGAAGGATTCCGACTTTTGTTTTTTGAACGTTTTTTTGGCGAAGTTTTCTGCTTCAACAAGGGAGTCATAGAGGTTGGGGTTACGTCTGAAATTTCTAAGTGCGACTTTGCGAGCTTTGTCAGCTTTGGCACAGTCAGAGTTCCACCAGGGGGGGTGACTAGGTTTGTTTCTATGGGGACGGTTAGAAGGTGATGGGTTGGTGACTATGAGAGAGGCTGCCTCGAGGATTTTGGAGGTGAGGAAGTTATATTTGGCATTGGTGGATTGAGATGGAGCTTCCGTGAAACTGAATGATGCAAGGGTGGATTTAAACAGGGACCAATCTTCGGCGCTGGCTTTTCTAAAGTTAAATCTGTGGGAGTTTCGGGGAGAGGAAGTGAATGAGATGCCGAGGGTGGTAGAGATAGGATAGTGATCGCTCATGTAGTTATCACTTGCTACGCGCCAGTTGCTAATGGTGAGAAGCTGGGGGGATACAAAAGTAAGATCTATACATGATGTGTAGAGGGGGTTTGAGCGACTTCTATAGGTTGGGGACCCGTCATTGAGGAATACTAGGTTGTTGTTGTTAAAAGTAGAAAGAGTGCAGTCCCCGATGGGACATGATTGTGAGCTGCCCCAGGCTGGGTTGTGGCAGTTGAAGTCACCGCCTATGATGGTATGTGTGAGATTCGGTATGGAATTTAGTAGGGCAGTCCAGTAGTGGTTGTGGAATGGCCTTTGGGATCTTGATGGAGGTCTGTAAACTGCGACTACATGTATAGGGTGGTTTGGTGAGTCGATTGAGATAGCGAGGGATTCGAGGATTCTGTGTTTGTGGAATGAGTTGATAATTCTGAAGGGGATGTTGTTGCGAATACAGATTGCAACACCACCACCTTCTGCGTCTTGTCTGTCTTTTCTGATGATGGTGAAGTTCTTAAGGGATGGGTTGTGGTGGGGGGCGAGTCTGGTTTCAAGTAAGATGATAACGTCGTAGTCTTGGGAGAGGAGTTGTATGTGATTGCGTCTTTGGTAAAAGGATCCACAGTTCCACTGGAGGATACGAAGACTATTGTTAATGTTTGGGTGTGCAGCCATGGAGGGTTAGGGTGTAGTTTAGTTGGTCGAGAGACGATTTAATAGGAATGAGGGTGTGAGATTGACCGAGTATAGCAAGTAGAGGGTCGAGAAGGGTTGATATGAGTTCTCTGAGTGAAGCTACGACATGCGATAGGTTGTTCAGAGTTAGTTCGTTGTGCGGTAAATGAGAGTTGTGCTGGACAGCTGGTGGAGATAGTTTCTGGGGGTTTGAGGAGGATGATGATGCTATTGTTGCTGTATTGAGGTTGACGGGATGAGGTATGGATGGTGAGGGGGAGAGGCGCTTTGGAGATAGTTGGGTTGATGGGTGGAGAAGAGATGGATGTTTCAGATTGGCGGTGTGGGTGTCGGGTGTATGATTCCAGAGGGTGGCTATGCCGGGGTTGGGGGGGGAACCATGTTGTTTCTTGGATAGAGGGGTGGTTTCAGATGTGGAGGGTACAGGCGACATTGAAGGGGAGGTGGGATGAGACGTGAGAGGCGTTGTATCAGTTGAGGTGTGAGGGGATTTTGTGATTGAAGCATAGGAGTGGAGATGTAAGTTATTTAGAGGGTTTGAGGTAAGGGTAGGGGTCAGGGAAGGAAAGGAGTAGTGAGGTGTATGAGAGGAGGTAGTTGAAGAATTGGGTGAGGGAGAGGGAGAGGGGAAGAGATGTTGGTTGACATTGGGGGGGAGTTGGTTGGTCAGGAGATGAGACTTGACATTTGAGTGGCGACTTTGGTGGTTAGGGGGAAAGAATTTTCTTAGGTAGGAGCTTGCGTCAATGAGTGAGACGTTGTGGGTGGCAGCATGAAGGTGTATTTTTTGTTGGAAAATGTACTCAGGGCAGGCTTTATCTAGGGGGGTGTGGGAACCTTTGCAGTTAATGCAAGTAGGGGAGTTAGCACTGGGGCAATTGGTGCCTTCTGGGTGGGTATTTAGACCGCAGGTCAAGCAGAGGGAGTGTTTTGAGCGGCAGAGGTTTTTGACGTGCCCATATCTGAAGCACTTAAAACAGGATTTAATGGGTTGAGTGAATGGACTGATGGGATAACGAACGCAGTAAAGGAATACGTGTGAGGGGAGTGTCTGGCCGATGAATGTGACCATTACTGACGAGGTTGGGGTGAGAGAGGATGAGTTGGTATTTTTGTCGTGAATCTTGCGGTTGAGTCTTTTTACAGAGTGTACAGGAGAAGTTGATGCTAGAGGGGCGTTCAAACAGGTGAGGATCATGTCCTCCGTTAGATCAAGGGGAACGTCTCTTATAACACCCTGTTTGTATATACAGTGGTGGGGGATGGAGGCCTTGAGGTTTTCTTTTGAAAGGAGAGGGTTGGAGAGGAGCTGGTTAGCGGAAAGGCCGTCTGTCATGAAGATAGAGACTTTGAGTGGGCCTGAGGAAGATATGGAGTGGATTTTGCCTTTGTAAGTGGCGGCTATGAGCCTTCCAATGGTGGTAGGATGTAATCTTCCAGATGTTTTTTCTGGGTGGATTGGTTCGAGGAAGACAACAAAAGGTCCCTGGTGGGAGCTGCTGTATTGCAGGTTTAAAGAGAGGGAGCTAGGGCTGATTGTGGTTGTCATGAGGTTGTTTGTGTTTGAAATGGTACCTGGGATGTTTGAGGCAGTTTGAGGTGTGTTGAGTGCGTTAGCAGGAACTTTATTGTGTGTGTCGTTTTGAAGAGAGTGCGAGAGTACTTTAGGATCAATGAGTGGGGGGGGTTAAGTCGGATGTTATGGTTGTGCGTGAGTTGGTAGTTTTATGAGTGGTCGGTGTGCTAGATATGTTGATTGGGGTTGAGGAGGAAGTAGGGAGGTTTGCTGACAGGTGAGGTGAATTTTGTAAGCATGGGGAGGTACCAAAGGATTCTTTAAAAAGTGAGTCGAGAAGCAATTTGTCATTGGTTGTGGGGGAATCCTGGGTCTTGGGGGTGGTGGATCGAAGGAAAGAGGCGGATGAGGAGTCCGAGTCGTATTCTTCGATGGATGCCGATTCAGCATCCATGGAGAATTCGTTATTAGTTTCGGTTGGGTGTTCTAGATGGCGGATGTCGGGAGAGTCTTGCATTTTTTTCTTGGGAGGAGCAGATGATAGTTTGGTGCGTTTGTTTTTTCGTTTTTTAGATTTGGGTTTAACCATATCGATAAGAGTGATGCAGGATGAGGTAGCAGCAGCCGCTGCCAAGGCGCCTTGGTTGGCGCCTGTTGCAGCAGGAGCTGTGAGGGGAGGCGGCGGTGGGGATTGGTTTAAGGTTATGGTTGTGGGGTGAAAAAGGCGCGGGGATGGAGAGTGTTTGGTGGAGGTGAAAGGTGAGGAAGGAAGGAGGGATCACCAGGAGGCAAAGTGACTAAAAAAGTCAAAGGTGGTGCAAACGGAATTTTGCAATGTTATAAGCACTATACTTAACGTATTACAGCAGGTGAGCATCCCAGGTCGCTATAGAGAAGGTCCTGTCGGTACGGTTGCTCGAGCCGAACTCCGCGATGAAGGCTGGCAGCGAGGGAGTAGTGGTTTTATCGTAGTCTGTTAATTGTAGTAATGTGTTTACGTTGGAAGTTTGTGTTTTTGAACCACGGTTTAGGTGAGGATAGTGAGAAGAAATTTTTGAAATAGTATTGGCCTTTGTTTTCAGCTTGTTTGAGTAAGACATTGTGAAAGATAGATAGGTTTTGTTTGTTGACATATGTTCTTGAAAGTCAGAGTGATGAAGATGCGTAATGATCATTGTACCGTCATTAGTGGCTTCTTAGATGTGCTTGGAATAAAAAAGGAAAGACCAACAAAATCAATTTGGGGGGATTTTGAAGCATCTGTAAAGATATGTAAACTGTTTGTAGGGTTTAAGTGGAAGAGTTCATTAAATAGGGAGTGAGGATCGGGGGAATTTTTTATTAGTAGGTCAGATTCTAGGTCTGTGATCGGAGAGTGGATGGTTATAGGATAGTTTAACGAGTATTGGAGGGGAGTGGTGTGTAATTTTATTTAATTAACTTTTAAGGGTGAAATTGAGTTGTAGTATTTTAAAAGGTTGGATTTTTTAAAGGGTTGTTTAGAGAGGATGTTATTTAAGGATCTGATCTTTTCTAGTAAGGGTGAGATGTATTGGGCTAGTAGATTGAGGATGCAGTGATCAGAAAGGTGCTTTATTCTGAGGTAAAAAAAAGGAATTTTGGATTCGGCGTGCAGGACGTTAATGTGGGTAGATATTTTGTAGCCAAGGGCAATTCTTAAACATTGGTTTTGGATTTTTTTTAGTTTATTGAGTAGAGAGATGTTTGATATGTGGGTATAAGGGAGAGTGAATATTCAAAGGTTGAGCGGATAAGGCTAGTGTAAATTTTTAGGAGGATAGAAGGGTGTTCACCTCACCAGGTGCCGTATAGGGATTTCATGATGTTATTGATACGCTGAGAGGCTTTACCAATGATGTTTTTGAGATGTGAATTCCAAGAAAGTTTATGATCGAATGTGAGGCCAAGGTATTTGATAGATTTAACTGTGGGTATGTTTGTGTTGTTAAGAGTGAGGAATGGGTTAGAGTCATATACAGCGTCGTCTTGACAAAATATGGTAAAGCGAGTTTTTTGGTCGGAGATAAATAGGTTAAGAGTGTTATTGAAATCGTTAATTTTGTTGAGAGAGGAGTTTAGTTTTGTAATGGCTGATGGTATGTTGTTGTCGGTAGTGTATATTACTGTGTCGTCCGCATATTGGAGGATTTGGACGGCAGGGTCAAGGGAGATCTTATCAATTTGAGAAACGTACAAGTTGTACAGTAATAGGCTGAGTACACAGTCTTGGGGAACACCAGTGCTTTTATAGTAAGGTCCTTTCAGGTTGTTGGCAACTTTGAAATAAAGCTCTCTGTGGGTCATTAAGTTGAAGATGAGTTTTCTTGTTTTGTCTGGTATTTTAAGGTCTGAGAGGATATTGTTTAGGATAGGTGGGTGGACAACGTCAAAGGCTGATTTAATGTCTATGAAACAGCAGCAAGTATATTGATTGTTTGAGATTGCATGTTGAATGTCGATAATTAGGGAAGCCAGGGCATGCTGGAACGATTTATTTCTACGGAATCCCAGTTGCGAGTTTGGAAGGAGAAGATTTTGTTAAGTGAAGTGGTGTAGGCGTGTGTTGATCATTCTTTCTGTAAGTTTTAAGGTACAAGAAGCCAGGGAGATCGGGCGGAATTGGTGGTTAGAGTTTTTGGGGATGAGAGCAATAAGAAATTTTTTCCATGATTCATGGAACTGGCCATTCTGGAAGAAATGATTAATGGATTCGAGAAGGATAGTATGAAAGGAGGGTGGGGAGTTGAGAAGTATTTTATAGTCGATTTAGTCGAGGCCAGGACAAGAGTTTTGTTTTATAGAGCTTAATGCTAAATTTAACTCTGTAGGGGTGAAAGGAGAGTCAAGAAAGCTGGTGGGTGGGTCAGCTGGCTTGTTGAGGTCGAAAGTAGGGGGAGGATGAGTTTGAAAAATGTCAGTGTTGGGGCAAAAGTTTTTAATAAATTTCTCAGAGATTTGGATTTTTGGAGTTCTGCGTCGTTATTGGAGTACTTTATACTAGATGAGTCGTTGATAGAGTTTTTGAATTTGTTAACGGTGTTCCAGATAGTTCGATCGTCGGAGTCTTGAGAGAGTGCAGTTTCTATGTAGTTGCGGAATTTGGCCTGTTTGATATTACGAATTTTGTGTTTAGTATATTTCTCGGTTTCTTTAAGGATATAAAGATTCTTATATGAGGGATTTTTTAGTAGGTTTTGCTGAAGCAAGGTTTCTGTTTTTTGTTAGCTGAGAACATTCATCGTTCCACCTTGGGGCTTTTTGGGGGTGAAGACTAAATCGTTTCCTAATGTTGGGATTGAGAATTTTAGTAAGAGAGGATAGGTCAGTAGGTATTTGGGGTGATGAGGGGTGGGAAGGTTTTTTGGCGGAGAGATGTTGCATGGTAGATGTTGCTAGATTTATTATAACATTGTATTTTTCTGCAGGGGTTAAAGAGTTTGTTAAAACTGAATGTTGTTGGATGGATTTGTCTACAATTGTAAAGTACTGTCTCCAGTTAATTTGTTTGTAATTGAGTTTGCGGATGAGAGAAAATGGTATAATAGTGTTTGGTTTTATCAGGAGTGAATATTCAATTGGAAAGTGGTTACTGGTCATGTTATCGGGAAGAACTTTCTAAGAGGTAGAAGTGGATAAGTTAGGTGACACGAAAGTGAGATCTAGAGGAGATGTTAAGTGAAGGGTGTTCGTGCTTGAATTTGGGATATGTGAGGGATTATAGAAGTGAGTGGGTGTAACATCATCCAAAAACACTAGATTGTAGTTATGTAGGGAGTCGTGCAGATTATTTTCTGAGGTACAAGATTTGTGGAAATCCCAAGGGGGTAGTGGGCATTAAAATCACCAGCAATAAGAGAGAACTGATAGTTTTTACTGGCGTCAAGTAGGTTGTTCCATTCATTGGAGCTGATTATTGTGTTAGGTACATGGTATAAAGAGACTATTAACAGTTGGTCTTGGGAAGATCTATTATTGTTGATGATAGGGATCGAGATAGCCAGTGTTTCAATCTTGTGGTCAATGTTGAATATAGCTGTTTTGGCTTTATATTTGATGTTTTGTTCAATTAGAATGGCGAGACCACCATGTTGTCCTACTTGTCTGTCTTTGCGAATGATTTGAAAGTTAGGGATGTTTATCTGGAAGTCATCGTAGAGGCAGGTTTTGCATAGGAGGATAATATCATATTCGTTAGCGCAGTTTTTTAGGTAATGGAGTTTATTTCGTACACTTTGACAGTTCCATTGAAGGACTTTAATCTCGGAAAGGTCCATATTTTTTTTTTTTTTTTTTTGTTTTTTAGGTAATGGAGTTTATTTCGTACACTTTGACAGTTCCATTGAAGGACTTTAATCTCGGAAAGGTCCATATTTTTTTTTTTTTTTTTCTGAGAGAGCTGTGGTTAGTGAAGGTTAGTGTGAAATAGGAAGGTTAGATTCTTTGTTTGTTGGGGTTGAGGTTTGGGAGGTAGATAGGGGGGATGTGCTGGTTTGGTAAAAGGGGTTTGATTCTTGAGTGGATTGGTGATTTGGATTTATTTTTATTAGGTTGTAGAAATTATTATCGTTGTTATAGATAGGTAGGTAAAGATATCTTTTAAGTTTGAGTAAGAGAGGAATAAGTTGCTCAGATTATAGCCGTCTGCAGACTGTTTAAGATCTATTGTAGAGTTTAAGGGGAAGTTGTCTTGAGGTGAGGCGTCTGGATTGAGGGGTTGGGGGGAGATAATTTCAAGATTACTTGGTGTTTGTCGTGAGATGGAAGGAGAGTAGCCATTTGGTGGGATAAGAAGGTCAAGGTGTTCTTTAGGGAACGGGAGGGATTTGTGACGTAGGGGTTGGGGTTAGGGAGCATGGTTTGTAAGGAGAATAGTGTTGGTTTTCAAGAATTGAGAGTATAAACGGTATGTAGGCGGAGAAGGGACGGAGCTTGTATTCTTGTTCGGTTCTGAAGGGTTGGAGAGTTGGGGGCTAGTGGAGGAAAAGTGGTATTGGAAGTCAGAAGATTTGAATCTTTTATTAATGCGATTTTTGTAGTCTGAACGGGTCTCTTTGATGCTTCTGTTATTTTGAATGGCTTCAGAGAGGACTTTTTGTTCAAAAATGCTTGCGTTGCAGGATCTGTCGATTGAAAGATGGGAATTTCCACAGTTAATGTTGGTTAATTGGAGGAGCTAGGAGGAGTAAAGTGCAATGAGTGAAACGCCAGGTTTAAGTATTTATTGCGTAGCCACGTGGGGTTTATAAAACACCGTTTAAGAGAGCCTTGTACTGCACTAACAACACGGTGCAGAGCAGAGATTAGTAGGGAGATTGCTGACTGCCATGCTACGGAGTGTGCCCACTTTTTATACGATTATACGTGAATATTTAACTACGTACATATATTAAATTTTTGTGCTTATATTTACATTCCTTATCAATACCTTCTCGTTATTGCGTTGACAAAATTCGTACTACATATATATGTTCAAACATGAAAGTAGATTCTTTAGTC